TGTATTGCTTTATCCCATACAAGAACATAAGTTACATTAAGGTCTAGGATTTTTACATCCTTAGGTAAATAAATATAAAAATAAAAAAAAAAAAAAAAAAAGGTCTAGGATTTTTATTTCTTCTGATCACTTTGTATCCCCAAGCCCCAAGAGTGCTTGGCACATAGGAAATACTCAAAAAATATTTGTAGAATGATTAGGTGAATCAAAAGAGGCTTAAAATAAATCAAATCATAGGCAAAAAGCAGTACTGATGTTATACTTTTCTCTACTGTCTAAAGCTGATGGAAAAAGAAAACAAAGGTTTAAATATATTATTTAGAGGTCTAACAGTAGCCAGTAGAAGAACTGAAATAATTGTCAAAAATTGGGGTCAGATACAATAGCTCATGCCTGTAATCCTAGCACTTTGGGAGGCCAAGGCAGGAGGACTGCTTGAGGTCAGGAGTTCAAGACAAGCCTGAGCAAGAGCAAGATCCCATCTCTACAAAGATAGAAGACTTAGCTAGGTGTGGTAGCACACACCTTAGTCCCAGCTACTCAGAAGGCTGAAGCAGGAGGATCACTTGAGCCCAGAAATTTGAGGCTGCAGTGAGCTAAGATGATACCACTGCATTCTAGCTCAGGTGACAGAGCGAGACCCTGTCTCAAAAAAAAAAAAAAAAAAATTGGGGACAGTGCTAGTGTGAGTGAAATCCCCATCTTTCATTATCAGAACTCAATTGTATTAACCTGATAAAACAAGAAATGACAGAATAGTATTGCTTTACATATAAAACACATTTATAGTTTTACAATAGTATTAGAGCTAGGAAGATAACCTCCCAAAGAAATAAAACCACAAACACTTAAAGAAGATTGCCTTTGTGAAAGGGGATCAAGGGTGAGGAAGGACTCTTTGCTTTTCATTATAAGCTCTATGTATTGATATTAATCTGTTAAAAATATTTAACAGATCTCATCAAAATTAAAAACTTGCTTTATGAAAAAATCCTATGAAGAGGATGAAAGACAATCCACAGAGTACAAGAAAATATTTGTAAACCACATATTCTACAAAGGTCTAGTCTCCAGAATATATAAAGAACTTTCAAAATACAATAAGAAAAAGGAAATTCAATTAGAAAATGGGCAAAAGACATGAACAAACATTTCCCTAAAGAGGATGACAGATGGCAAATAAGCACATGAAAAGATGCTCAACATCATTAGCCATTAGGGAAATGAAAATTAAAACCACAATGAGATATCACTTCAGACTTCTGAGAATGACTGAAATAAAAAATAGTGAAAACACCAAATGCTGATCATTATGGAGAGAAACTGGATCACTCATACATTGCTGGTGGGACAGTAAAATGGCACAGCCACTCAAGAAAACAGTTTGGCAGTTTCCTAAAAAACCAAACATGTAACTATCATATAATTCAGCAACTACATTTATCCCAGAGAAATGAAGACTTATCTTCACACAAAAACCTGTACACAAATATCTATAGTAGCTTTATTCACAGTAGTCAAAAACTAGAAACAACCCAGATGTCCTTCAACAGGTGAATAGTTAAACAAACTGTGGTAGGCACATACCATGGAATACTACTCAGCAATGAAAAGGAACAAACTATTGATAGACACAAAAATTTGGATGAGGCTGGGTGCAATGGTTCACGCCTGTAATCCTAGCACTCTGGGAGGTTGAGTGGAGGATCACTTGAGGTCAGAAGTTTGAGACCAGCCTGGACAACATAGCAAGACCCCATCTCTACAAAAAATACAAAAATTAGCTGGGCATGGTGGCATGTGCCTGTATTCCTAGCTACTTGGGAGGGTAAGGCAGAAGGCTTGCTTGAGCCCAGGAGTTTGAGATTGCAGTGAGCTATGATGATGCTACTATACTCTAGCTGGGGTGACAGAGCAACACTCTTGTCTCAAAAAAAAAAAAAAAACTTGGATGGATCTCCCAAAAGTTATGCTATGCTGGTTGAAAAAAGCCAATCCCAAAGGTTACATACATACCATTTATTCATTTATATAATTTATCATTATCATTTATTCATTTACACATTTATATAACATTTTGAAATGACAAAATTTTACAAATAGAGAATGAATTAGTGGTTGCCACTAGGGGTTTAGAGGCAGAAAAGGGAAGTGGGTATACCAATAAAAAGACAATAGGCATCCTATGGTGCTGGATCTGTTCAATATCTTGACTGTAGTGGTGGATACACAAACCTACACAGGTTATAAAACTTAATACACACACAAATAGAAGTAAAATGGGACATCTGAATAAATACAGTGGATTTTATTAATGTCAATACCCTGGTTGTGATAATTTACTATAGCTCTACAAAACGTTACCATTGGGGGAAACTGGGCAAAGTGTACAAAGGATCTCTCTGTATATTTCTTATAACAGTATGTGAATCTATAATTATCTCAATTTTAAAAATGCTTGATGGGGAAATAAAAATATCTGTATTTCTTTACTATAATATCTTAGGACACTCCATGTTTAAGACTATCAGCTTACATCAATAGCACACTAGATAAGGCAGTTAGATTTTTTGGAATTTTATGACATAGAAAGTTTTATAGACAGTTTTGTTCAAAATACAGACCCCAAAGATACACATATAAGTTTTCATTCTTTTGAAATCAACCCCAAATTCTTCCCACCCTTATCATCTTTGTACATGCAGCTCACTCTGTTTGCAAAACTCCTCCTCTCAAACTGGACACTTCTCCCCAGCCCTTCAACTATGTCTAGCAAATTCATATTTATCATGTAGATTGCATTTCTCAAAGAGGCATTCCCTTATCCCTAGGATTAGATTTTTTTTTCCTTTTTACAATAATCACAATTATAATTGAATATCTATTGATATAATGACTTAACATCTATCTCCCCTATTAAATTATAAATTCCACAATGGGAAAGCCCCTTTTTAAGGCATATGCCACAATATCTGCACACTTATTGAACATAAGCATTTGATTGTTTTTTAAGAGACTGAGCAACACCATTGATGCAAAAAAGGAAAAGGAGGAGCATGGAACTTCTCAAATAGCATTGCTTCATTCACAATGAGGGATATGCATACTTCCTGCCCTCACTAGTTCAAACCAGGATGTTGAGCCACAAAAACATAGATAAACCTGGCACATGTTCCTAAATAGGTACCATAAACCTATACGCCCACAAAAAACAAAGCAAGATAACACTGATGAGTGAAGCAGCTGAGTGTAAGAACAAAAGCATAAGCACTGTGACAAATGACAAAGGAACACCTGGCTTCAGTGTCCAAGTACAATAGTGCGATGTGGTGACTATGGCAAACCATAGAATTCATGCTCCATCTAAGCAAAGGTTGCCTCCTACTTACAGCTCCAGCCAACTGTTGCCAATAATGCCAAAAGGAGGAAATCCAGGTCTTATGAGAAATTTCCCCATTTTTAAATTGTCAATTAATTCAAATATGTTTTACCACTTATGTAGGCCAAATAAAACTCCTCTTCAGGACAAAATGAGCCCATCAGTTTGCAGATTGTTCTGAAGCATTCATTTTGTTGATTAGGGAGAAAAAAATTGATGTGCAAACAGAGTGTAAAAAAACAACCCATTTAATTTTAAGATAAAACAATAGTCTTCAACCATCTCAAGGCAACACTCTCCTCTTTAACTACCTCCCCTTTCTATCCTGATACCCAGAGACTCCTGAAGTTATCTACATTCTCCTTTGACTTTAGAACTGGGGCAGCAGACTAAGAAGCACTGACTAGTTAAAAGGAACTCAGGAGGCTGAAGCAGGACCGTTTAAGGCCATGTCTGTAAATAGCTACTGCACTCCAGCCTGAGCAACACAGTGAAACCCTGTCTTAAAAAAAAAAAAAAATTAATTTAAAAAATAAAATTAACAAAATAAAATTAAATAAAAAAGAAAGCAGAGGCATTCAAGTCAGAAGAACCATGTTCATTCAAAGCCCCACTCTGTCACTTATTAGCAATGTATTCTAGAGCAAGTTATTTAACTTCTTTGCCCATCAGTTTCCTCCTCTATACAATGGAAATAATATATTAATAATGTCTTCACTGTATAGCTGCTTTAAGGATAGAATTAAATGAGATTATAATATCTGTGAAACATCCAATATAGGGCTTAACACAGAGGAAGAACTCAAAAAATAGACACTGTAAAGATACACATAAGACATGGTAAAAGTTGAATATTGTTTAGGATATGAATTAAACATTAGGGATCTACCTGGTGAGGTGCTTTGATTGGTACGTGGAAAACATGTCTAATAGTTTTGATAATACTCCTAAATATTTTTGATGATTATTTTTTCTACTAAGACGTCATATCTATACTAAGAATGAAGAATGTTTTATTTTGTTTCATGTGCACAAGATAGATCATGATTTGAATAATGCATGTATAAAAAATGTTATTATCTTCACAAAAGAGATTCCAACTATCAATACTAATACAGTAACATCTAATACAATCCTCAAGTTCCACTTACTAATACACACACAGAAAAGATTAATCCCTTTATCCTGTAGGCAACAGATAGAGATGAGAGAATTGATCTGTTAATAAATTTAAATAAACGCTTTCAAATGTCATATACCTAGACCGGGCGCGGTGGCTCACGCCTGTAATCCTAGCACTCTGGGAGGCCGAGGCGGGCGGATTGCTCGAGGTCAGGAGTTCGAAACCAGCCTGAGCAAGACCGAGACCCCGTCTCTACTATAAATAGAAATAAATTCATTGGCCAACTAATATACATAGAAAAAATTAGCCGGGCATGGTGGTACATGCCTGTAGTCCCAGCTACTCGGGAAGTTGAGGCAGAAGGATTGTTTGAGCCCAGGAGTTTGAGGTTGCTGTGAGCTAGGCTAACGCCACGGCACTCACTCTAGCCTGGGCAACAAAGCGAGACTCTGTCTAAAAAAAAAAAAAAAAAAATTAACAATATCAAATGTCATATACCTGCTTGTCCTGTTTGGCTGAGGTAACTGTTCAATGACCTGACTGATGGAACCACATGTGTCCAAATGAGAAGAATCCATAGAATCTGAAAACAGTAATTGGATATTAGCACAAAAGGCACTTAGCATCAAACTTTAATACAAAATCAGGACTACAGATAATACCAATCTATTCAGCAACATCAGAACATCAATTTTTGAGGGCCTACTACCAGTATACACCAGATGCCACACTAGGCTTTCTTACATACATTCACCACAAACACATAAAGTTTAAATCCACCCAGCTCCAACAAGAGCACCAAAAAAATGCAAAGGGGACTAATAGCTTTAAACACCTCACCTGCAGCCTTGTTTTCTTTCAAATGTTCACTGAACCCACTATTACTATCTCCCTGTTCTTCTCCAGCTGTTTGTTCAGGATTGGACACAACATCCTGGAAAACACACATACATAATATCCCCACTGTATATGAAACAGTCGAAAATCAGACATACTATTTATGAACATGTTGATTTCATTTTTCTAATCAATTTTATCAAAAAGATAGTGATTTTTTTACACACTTATGTTTGCTGGTTGGTCTAGATTAGGGGAAAAAAATCTGCTCAATCATTATCAAACAAGGTATCACTCACCAACACAGGATTCTCTTTGTGCGTCTGTAGGTTAGGAAGGTGTCGAGACAGCACACCAAAGTGAGAACCAGAATCATCTTCTAGAACCTGGCTTTCAGGCTGAGAATCTTCAATTATCAGGCAAGGAGTATCTTGCTGAGAGAAATCTGAATCCAACTGACTTCCTGTAGGGTCCATCTGCTCCCCTGGAATGGAATAACAAAAGATCAGTTCTGTGTAACCCACAACTAGCCTTTCTCACGCAGTCTGAGCCTAAATAACGGGGTGGAAGTACAAGAGCTGGGAAAAGGGACCAGTTCATGACTACTCCAATTGCGTTATATTTATAATCGCTGCGAGCACTTTCCTATCATGCCTCCCAAGCCCTCGATTCCTCGTTATTTACAAGAAGCCTACCTATCCCTCCTCTTCTTTTTCATCACCTTCCCTTAGACACCCTTTCCCCTCCTTCCTAACCTCTTCTCTCCCCGCCCTTTTTTCCATCCCCCCACAACTCTCCCTACGTCCTTCTGGCGCCTCTACCGCCCCCCAAAAGACTGCTTTGTAATTTCTTTTCTCCAGAACCCCCACAGCCCTTCACGCTTCCTCACGACCACCAGCCTTCTTAGCTACTGCTTCCCCACCCCCTCCTCAGGGCCCTCCAACCCCTTCCCCGTCACCGCCGCCATGCTTGCCACCCCGCCCCCTCCGGTCAGCCATCCCTTCAGACCCGAAATCCAGGCCCTCAGAACCGACCGCGCCCCCATTTCTCTCCAAACGGTACCAGGCATCCCCGCGGAAGGTCCCTCGCGCTCGAGCTAGAGGTCTCTGCACGCTCCCCAGGTCCCTCCAGCTCGATCCCCAGGTCGCCGCTGTGGCCACCGCCGCCACCGGCCGCGAACTCCCCCTTTTCCCGTCGCGTCACGCAGCACCGGATCGCCCATTCGCTGCTGCTGACTGCCACTCAAGAAATCCTGTGGATGATAGGTGGCTGAGGCGGAGTGCCCCGCCCCTCGCAAGAAAAAGGAACACGGCGGCGCGTTTCCATGGCAGCATGGACGTTGCAGGCCCTCCCCCTACTAGAGCCAGAGAATGACAGTATCCTTGAACCGAAGGGACCTTGAGAGGGCGTGAAATATCTTCCTCTGCCTCCAGGACGACTGTATTTACCACTACTCAGACATTTGAGAACCTCTACCTGCTTTCTGTCGTCCATGCACCGTAAGGCCCCTTCTCTCACCTTCTTCCATGGAAAAAGAGTTTCCCAGCTTCCTAATAAAAGGCAAAGAAGAAGAAGTGAGGATGGCTAGTACTTCAGAGCTGGTGAAATGGAAGAGATGACTCTTTCTTGTCTAATACACGGTTAACCTGTGTCAATCAGAATCCCTTTTGTGGGCCTCTACCTGAATGCAAGGGTCTGACATTACATCTCTGACAGTTTTTTGTTTTGTTTTGTTTTGTTTTTTACATTGTCTGAGGGCTCCAGTAAGCCTTATTTCTTCCTATTCCCCTTTTCAGCCTGAGACGTATTTCAAGCTTCACATTTGTTTGTCGTTGCCCTATCTTTCATGGGATTGCAGCCTACGGAGACTACAGCCCCAGACATGTTTTGCACCTCCCATTGAGAGAATTAAGCACCGTGATTCCCAAACTCTATGAGGAAGAAAACAGCTGCCACCCCTTCTAACTAGATGACCTCAAAGATCCCTCCAAGTCTTGAGATTCTATTATCCTAATTATAGTGTCAGGGTCTTACAGAGGGTGTGGCAGCCGATGACTATTAATGAACTAGGCCCCATGAGGCAAATGTGTTTGTTTTATTTTGTTTTAATTTATATGGCAGTTGGATCTGGGATAGAATTCTAGCCAGAGCAGCTGTCAATAACGAAAGCACCTAGCATAATACCAAGCACATACATAGTAGGCATTTAATATGAGGTAGTTTTTGCTATCTCAGGCTCAGATTTATTTAGGCACAGCCCAATTCATCACTTGATATAGGCAAGGCTGAAAAGGAGCTTTCTACCAATCTTCTCCCTGCTGCTATAAATTACCATGATCATATTTTCCAAACCAAAATCAAAGCATGTTGTCTGAGTATATGTTACTTAAAAGAACCCAAGGACTGATCCTTTTTTTTTTTTTTTTTTTTTTTTGAGACAAGAGTCTCGCTTTCTTGCCCAGGCTAGAGTGAGTGCCATGGCGTCAGCCTAGCTCACAGCAACCTCAAACTCCTGGGCTCAAGCAATCCTACTGCCTCCACCTCCCGAGTAGCTGGGACTACAGGCATGCGCCACCATGCCCGGCTAATTTCTATATATATTAGTTGGCCAATTAATTTCTTTCTATTTATAGTAGAGACGGGGTCTCGCTCTTGCTGAGGCTAGTTTCGAACTCCTGACCTTGAGCAATCCGCCTGCCTCTGCCTCCCAGAGTGCTAGGATTACAGGTGTGAGCCACCGCGCCCAGCCAAGGACTGACTCTTTGAAATAAAACTGTCCTGAAAAATCTACAGTCTATTATTGCTATAACTAGAATATTAGGGTCCTCAGAATGTTTTATTAGTGGAACTAAAATGAAATGGAGCACACAGAGACACATCACACTACTTAATCTTAAAATCATTTGTAATTGACTCCTCTCATTCTCCACTCCTAATGCTACAGAAGAACAATGACCAAATAAATCTTTTTTTTTTTTTTTTTTTTCTGAGAAAGAGTCTCACTCTGTTATCCAGGCTAAAGTGCCATAGGACCGGTCAGCCTAGCTCACAGCAACCTCAAACTCCTGGGCTCAAGCAATCCTCCTGCCTCAGCCTCCTGAGTTCCTAAATAGCGGGGACTACAGGTGGACGCCACCATGCCTGGTTAACTTTTTCTATTTTTAGTCGCCCAGCTAATTCTATTTTTTTTAGTAGAGACAGGGTCTTGCTCTTGCTCAAGCTGGTCTCAAACTCCTGACTTCAAGCAATCCTCCCACCTCTCAAAGTGCTAGGATTACAGGCATGAGCCATCTTACCTGGCCTAATAACCAAATAAATATAACCATAAAGGGACCAGGTCAGGGCAATATTAATCATACTAGGTGGACAAAATGAGTTCATCTGCTCAATTTGGAGAGCACAAACAACCAGGTCTCATTATGTCAAAGAGTGACCTTGAGTCCCATAAAAGTCCCCACAAAATCACTTTCTCATTGCTGTTCTTCTCCAGCCTCCTATTAATTTCTACCTCCCCGAAGTGAGGTATAAACAGGTCCTTTGATCATTTGACAAACAACTATATGTGTTTGTCAAAACTCATAAAACTAAAAAGGGTAAATTAAACCTCAATAAACATGACTAAAAATAGACAAATAAATAAATGAGCTGAGCTATTCCCATTACTAAATAAAACAAGAGTCTTAAAAAAAACTGTGAAGAAAAACTGTGAATTTCTTGTTAGGCAGTGTGGCAATTAAATTAATCATTAAATTATCCAGGAAGATCAGAAACTATAGGCAGAATTACTACCCACTAAGGCTGTGACTGATTGTGTAGCTAGATGAGCCAAAGGCTTTTATTGACTCCTACACTGCAAAGGACCATCGACCTATCTACAGGTACATCTTTATCTAAGTCACCTCAGAGGAAAAGAAATCTAATCTACCTCTAAAGGCCTCCCAGAGAAGAAAACTCCATCAGACCCCATGTTAACTTGCTTTAAAGTTTAACAAACCTCATTGTCAGAAATTGTTCTTCTAATCATCTAACCTAAATCCTTTATTCTAGACCTTAAAGCCATTTTCTTTCATACTATCTTTAACTGGTATCTTTAAACCTGGATAGATATCATTAAGTTGGGATCTTTTCATTTGGTTCTATAACTTCATAATAAATTTCAAACAATCAAGCAACAAACATAAATGCTACATGACTTAGTTTGTCAGTCTTTCTCTGACAGCTCCTCACAGACTTCTCTATGCAAAAGAACCTCAGCCATTTTATTCTTCCTTTATGGGTATTATTCACCAACCTTTAAATTTGTTCATGGTTTTATGGAAATTTATAGTTTGGGAGCTTAGTGGCAGAAAACTCTACTAAGGAGAATCTGATAAGTATTGAATTTAATGATACGAAAACAATTATATATCCCTGTTAAGCTGTAATATTAAAGTATTACATGCTAATTTAGTTAATCTGTAATTGATTCTGACCCCTCACCTGTCTTCTGTTGCACTTGGACCTATACAATTATGTCCATTTATATACCAATGATATAATTAATAACAGGTATTACATTTTTACTATGTGGCAGGTACTATGCTGTTTTACATTTATTATCTCACCTAATGGACTCATAACTCTATGAAGGTTACAGATGAGAAAACTAAGGTTTGGGGAAATGAAATAATTTGCACAACATCTCAGAGCTAATAAGAGAAGATCAGAAATTGAAATCAGTCTGTATAACTGCAGAGATTTTTATATATCCATGATTTAGGAGGAGTAGGGACAAACTGTAAAACAGTTGACACAAAGCTTTTTGTGTTTTAAAATGTATCTTTTTTTTTTTTTGAGACAGAGTCTAGCTTTGTTGCCCAGGCTAGAGTGGGTGCCATGGCGTCAGCCTAGCTCACAGCAACCTCAAACTCCTTGTCTCAAGCGATCCTCCTGCCTCAGCCTCCTGAGTAGCTGGGAATACAGGCATGTGCCACCATGCCTGGCTAATTTTTTTCTACATAAGTTGGCCAATTAATTTCTTTCTATTTATAGTAGACACGGGGGTCTCGCTCTTGCTCAGGCTGGTTTTGAACTCCTGACCTCGAGCAATCCTCCCGCCTCAGCCTCCCAGAGTGCTAGGATTACAGGCGTGAGCCACCACGCCTGGCCTAAAATGTATTTTTATTTGAATAGCTAAATATAAGTGTCCCTAATGTTCTAGGAATTCATAAAAATGAAAATAATGTGAAGAAAACAGAAGAGAAACTGAAAGTTATCAACTGCACACCTTATGAAGGAGCTAACAAAGAGCTGATGATATAATTAAAATGTGAAAGCCAAATTGCTTAAGAAAGTCAATAATTGTGACACTATATTAACCTCCTAACTCTAGGTTGATATAGGTACCTGTAACTCCTGCCATAGAAGCAATCTCAAATGGTGTGTATCTTATCTCTACAGAACTTCCTCCTATTAATTTTCTTAGGAACACTTTTTATTTTGAAAAATTTCAGAGCAAAAAAGTTGCAAAAGAATTATAATAAAAAATAATATAATCTCTCATAAACTCTTCACCTAGATTCACACATTGTTTTTTTGTTGTTTGTTTGTTTGAGACACAGTCTCACTCTGTTGCCAAGTCTAGAGTACCATGGCATCAGCCTAGCTCACAGCAACCTCAAACTCCTGGGCTCAAGCAATCCTTCTGCCTCAGCCTCCTAAATAGCTGGGACTACAGGCATGCGCCACCATGCCTGGCTAATTTTTTCTCTATATTTTTAGTTGGCCAATTAATTTCTTTCTATTTTTAGTAGAGACAGGGTCTTGCTCTTGCTCAGAGCTGGTTTCGAACTCCTGACCTCGAGCGATCCTCCTGCCTCAGCCTCCCAGAGTGCTACGATTACAGGCGTGAGCCACCACACCAATTCACACATTGTTAACATTTTACCACATTGCTCCTGGTCATTTTTTTTTTATTGTGGTAAAATATATATTAAACAGTATAAAATTTACCATTTTGACCATATATTTTTATTTTTTTAGCCTAAAATGTCACTGCTGTGGATATTTTGACCATTTTTAAGTGTACAGGTCAGTGACATTAAGTATATTCACATTGTTGTGCAACCATCACCACAGTCCATCTCTAAAACTTTTCATCTTCTCAGACTAAAGCTCTGTAATTCATTAAACAATAACTCCCAGTTCCTCCCTCCTCCCAGCCCCTGGCAACCACCATTCTACTTTCTGTCTTTATGAATGTGCCTGCTCTAGGTACCTCATATAAGTGGATTCAAACAATATTTGTTCTCTTTTGTCTGCTTTTTTCACTTAACATAGTGTTTTCAAGGTTCATCTGTGTTGTAGCATGTTGATACCACTTTTAGTTCTTATCCTGTAGCACTGGCTTCCTGGGAATTAGGGATTAGAAAGCTGAGGTGGAGGAGGAGAGCTAGGTTCTCTCGAGTCACAGGATGAGAATTTTATTTTTTATTTATTTATTTATTTTTTTTGAGACAGAGTCTCACTTTTGTTGCCTAGGCTAGAGTGAGTTCTCAGGCTGGTTTCGAAC